AATATAAAGCACACACATTGTTTTCCACTCTTCTAACCTTGCCCGGCAGACATTTGTTTCACTAACGCTCTTGTATGAGTTTAAATTGGAAAACAATATTTTTTCCATTTTTTTTTTTTTTTTTATTTATATTAGTGTAGGTAGTTTTTGTTTTCCTTGCGATCGTTTTTATTAACATTAAATGTATTTTATAAGTTTTATTTGTTTGTTTGATATAATACTAAGTAAACTATAAAATATATAATAGAAAGTAATATTTGCTTTTATTTTATTTAAAATTTGTTGAAAGCAAATTTATTTTATTACTTTTCTTGTACTATTAAGCAAAACCGTATTTTAATAATTTTGTCTAGTATCGAATTTTTAATTAATTTAAACGGGTGAAACAAACAGCCTGAAGGCTATGATTACTTACTGTAGGTGTCAAGTAAATAAACGAGTATCCTAAAAGCTAATTAGAAGAAGAGGATGTAGGGGTTTTAAATGAAAAGATTTTTTTTTATTAATTTTAGTTTGATTGCGAAATGATTTCTTATTTTTATTCTTCTTTTTCAACAAACGCGTATAACGAAAAACTTAAAAACTCTAACAAAAAATTCCTTAAAATTTAAAAATCTTTAAATGGATAAAACAATATATGATAAATTGTAGAACGTCTGCATGTACCCCACAGTCGAAGCTCAATACGTGCATTAAATCGGACTCAATCTCCGCAATGAAACAGAATTTAAATCTACTTAAACAAAAATTTTGACTTTCTATCACAAAATCTTTGTTCATAGCCAGATATCTACGATATTTACGAAGAAAAAAACTAAAACTAAATTCTACCATGTAACATAAGAAAATTCAATCTCCTTGCATAAGTATACTAGTAAGTCTTTAAAACTTGATTCTCAATGATAAACAGCGAATTACACTCATCAAATAACACTTTTATGATAAACGAGACGCCTAATCCAGTCGCGTCTAATCTTCAAACTAGGAAAGTGAATAAGCTGAAGACGACTCTCCTAAGGTGGCAGTGGTATTTTGCCGGACTCCATCTCGAAGGCCTAACAAGTGCGGTAAATGGCCTCTTACGCTTTGTTAACGGTGGCTCGGACCTGCAACGTAAAACGCAATTTAGAATCGAGTATAAACCCCAAATCTATAAAGTTCGAAACAAATTCCACTTTATAAGTATCTATATAATAGTTCATAGAGAAAAATAACCTCTTCGGATGATGTTTCTTCATTTTTATTGTCTTTCCGTCTAAACATAACAATATAGTGTAGAGAAGAAGAGCGACTTCTTAACGTGAACGAAACAAATAAGTTCTCAGGGTAAGTGGAAAAAAACCAGTTTTCTAGTGGTGGATGAAAATGTTCAGTTCTAAGTATAGGCGGGATAAAGCGTATGATGCCAATATGATCAGTGATGCGCGCTATGACACATCTTTCGAGAGGGGTTTGCAGGATGTGCTTATCGTTTAAGTCGCAAGTCATAAGGTGGGAATTTGGAACGAGCTATGGAGTTTCAAATCATGTTTTCGAAAGAATATCTTGAATAAGGAGACAAGGAACGAAGAAAGACAGTGGCTTGCGGCGAGGCAGTTTTCAAGACAGCCGTATACTATAAGTGGTACCTCTGCGATTTCCGCTGTAGAAAGAAACCAATATATCTGCCCGTTTTGACCCAGATAAATAATGATGCAATTGGTATCTATAGGAGATCATTTTTTTTTTTTTTTTGTTTTTATTATATAATATTAACTTTTATTTATTTAAGATTTTCTTTTTGCATATAAATCGATGCTTGGTTTTTTTGCCCCCCTTTTTATGTTAAACAATACATAAATAATATTTTTTACACCACAGAAACATTAACTATTATGATTAATATTTTAAATTAATTTTTAGCTAATTTAACAGTTTTGTTTTTTTTTTTTTTTATTACCATCACCTAGATGGTGAACAATGCTTAAATGTTATAAAATTTTTTTTTATAATAAACATAATAAAGCAAATATGTATAAATTAAGTTTAAGTACCAGTAGTTGGAATAAAAGGCTAAATTAAATATCGTGACATAATGACGAAAGTAAAAAAAAAAATAAAAACGACAAAAAGATTTTAAAAACCAAAAATTAAAAAAAAAAATATAAATATGCCTTTTTTTATTTTCTTTTCCTAAAAGCGATTAGATTTTTAATCTTAGGTTTTCGTGTTTCTTGTTGATTCATCTTTTATTTGAATGCAGACTTTTTTCTTTTTTTGCTACTTTGTAAAGTTTAGAGGGACATTACATTATTTTCTTTGTAGTAACTTTTTAAATTGTTTTTTTTTTTTTTTTGATTTAATTGTAGCTAAAATTATTTTCAATGAATGTAGCAAAAGTTCTTTTCAGTTAATTATTGTTTTTTTTTTTTTTTTTTTTTTAATTGTAGAATGTCAAAATAGTTCCGTTTAGCATTAAATTTTTTATAAAAATAAATGTTTGTTGTTACCGCCAAAAAAAAAAAATAAATTTTGTTTTTCTATTACTATCGAAAATATGTAAATTTATGTGAACTTATGATATAATTGCACAGTATTTGATGCATAATTATTAAATTCACTTTCTAACAATGAAGATATACTGGGTTTCTCGTTGCTGTTGCAACATCCAAAGGTTATCATCATAGATTTCAGAAAGTGTACACAATATTGGGTGACGAGATTCTAAGATAATTTACTGCATATTTCCGTCTATCGGTTCGTACGTCAACGTTCAACTTTTGGGAATTTCAATCTTGACAAAGTCAGCATAAACAGAGTCCAGTCGGTGTTTAACGTGAGTATCTACCGACAATAACCGACATGCCCCAAGGAATAGTGGACTCTATTACTCCTGAGGTAAGCGTCGTGCCCTATTTATCATCTCACTGTTTAATGGTCCCGCAAAACTTGGGAGTAATTACATTTACCGCGATCCTTTCTGAAGGGCCTTACCCAACAGTCAGGCATTCATCTCGGTAGTATAATGGGAAGTGCAGAATCAATCCTATTTTGGGCTACACGACCCCTTGTCGTCCTTCTTTTTGATTTACACGCCACTTCTTGGATTACCGCACTGCATGCAGCCGGATCCATGCCGATCTTTGGAACATTCACTCGTTCAGGAAGGCCAGCCAACAGATCAGTGTAGGCAATTAAAAGTTGGTAAAAATATTTTTAGTTTGAAAATATAGATCAAGTTTGACATATCATGGGATCTGGACGCTTTATCTGAAAGAGCTGATAGGCAGCTTACAGGAAAACAAAAGAAAGCTAAATTATTACGGACGTGTTAAGATTTGTCCCTCCATGCAACTATATATTAACTTTAATCCGTTCACCACGTCATCCGTAGTAAACCAACATTAATATTAATAGTAGTACTTGCTTAACGCGATACTTCTCAAGCTCGTCATCGATACATAGTGTAAAAATTACGGATACTACAACACGGATTCGATACCATAGGATCGAATATCTGTTTTTCGTACCCATCACCGGAGGATGATGAAAGGGATATTTATTTTACTAAATCTGCTCTCCTGTCGGAAAACTTGGGTTTTCGATAGAGACATTGGAAGTTCGTGCATGCAGGTATTAAAAGTGGGCCAAGCCGGTCGAAGGACACACCCACAGCGCCACGTAAACTGAGAACGCTTTTGTCTTTCAAAAAGAATAAAAAATTGGTTTATCACTCAAACCTGCAACGGATAAATCTACAAAAATTTGAATGCATTTTCTATGCTGCATGCTGTTGTAGTACCTATAGAATAATAGAAATAATCGACCACGCTCATCCAATATAATAATGTATCAAAATTGGATTTTTTTTTTGCAATACTTTTATGTGTGTGCCTTTTGGCGAACGTTGTGCGTTATGAGATGGTGAGAAATTCCGAAGCTTCGAACAAGCGTGGAATCACAAACCGCGATACAGTAACTAACAAAAAATATTTTATCTAAAAATTACTAAAGAAATAGTTAAACGAAAAGGCCCGAGGCTTTGCGTTATTAAGCGCTTGTAAACCAGATCTGTGAAAAGATTTATAGCGAGCATTTGTTGAGAGGCGAAACGCGGATTATGTTCATAGCGATAAGTAAATAACAGGAATGCATTGCCTACTCTTGTAGATCAATAAGGTAAAATAATCTTTTGCTAGAAAAAAGAAGTGGTTCGACAAAATGCTAATTTGCACATGTGCTGAGCGTCAATGTTAACGTTTAGCAAGTTACACTACCATGCCCCTAATTAGAACCGATTCTCTGGCACATTAATTCGTTCCCTAGTTTCCGCGGGACAATCAGGACTAAAATGATGTAATTTCTTGGATTAAAAGTCAGTTTTATTATCTCGCGCCAGGAACGTTTTTTTTCCATTTAACTTGGCAAGTTTCTGAATTTTAAAATGAATCAAATTACACAGTTCATCACAAATGTTATACCTTACATTTCATATGTTTGCTTAGAGTGTCAGGTGTAAGGATCGTTTGAAAGTTTAGTGCACAAATTTATTCGGTCAAACAACTTATCAAATACTTTGCAATTTTACAACGCACGCTTGACGTGGTGTATGCAAGGTCAGGATAAAAGTTCAGTAACCAAATGTTACTGATCGATCATGCTTGCTTACAATTAATTTTAACATATATAAAGTCTATATATATACATATAGTGTAGAGCTGGTGGGTATCCGAATTTCAAAGTAATTTTATTTACTCAAATAATTTTATTTAATTTTTTTTTTTCTTTTAAAACATTTTAACTTAACTATTTGGCTTAAGACTTTTTAACAAAAAATTCCAATTATAAGAAAAATTTCTTTCTTAAATGGACCATTGTTTTCTTTAAATGTATATTAAAAAAAATATTTATATTAGAAATGTTTTTTCTTTGGTTGTCTTATTACATTTTCGGTTTTTCTTTTAAATATATTTTGTTTGCTTTGTTTATTATTGTGTCTCGGGTTTTTCTTTTTCTTTTTCTTTTTCTTCTTTTTTTTTTTTTTTGGTCCTTTGGTTATTCTTTCTCATTGATTCCACGTCGACTAAAGGCACTCTATTCACATTTTCAATTTCAGTTCAGTAAGGTTTAGCGGCATCCTTTGAACGTTTCAGTTGTACTTTTAAACGTTTAGTGCCGATTTGAAAGCCATGCATAGCCTGTATAGCAGCGCTGGCCGAATGTGGATTATCATACGAAACAAAGCCGAAACATTTCGATAAATTTGTTTGCTTATCAATAAATACTTTGGCCGACAAAATATTACCGAACGGTAGAAATGTTGAGGCGAGATCGGTATCGGTAAATTCCTGAGGTAGATGGTATATGAAAAGATTACTGCCTTCAGGCCCTAAAAGAGGGGCGATCGAACATGAAATTATTAAATTGAACAAAAAAACAGAAGCATGTCTTTTCTTTTATCACTAACCTTCAATTTGTTTGCCTGCTACTCCGGCTGCGGCTGCTTGTAACGCTTGAGCTGTTAACGGAGCAGTTGTGTAGGCACCATTGGTTAAAGAATTAAGAGCTGTTGTTCCGTAAGGTGAGGTTAAAGCGTCTGCACCAGGCCCTTAAGAAGAGGAAGGGAAGGATATCAGAATTTTTTTTTTAATATATCTTAGAATGCATCGAATATTAAATTGGAAAAAAAGCTTTCTTAAAACAATGCCATTTTTTTATCATTCGTGTTAAGTGAGTTGAGATGTTTTAAATGCAAGTATGAACTAACGATACGTGCTAATGCTCACATATAACAAAACAATAGAAAGAAATTTTAAATGAAAAGGAAAATAAACACAGAATATTGCACATCGTTTGTGTGTATAGTTTCATTTTAAACGTTGTCAAAAAAATATCGGGGGTTAATTTAAAAGCAGAGCAACCCCGAAATTAGTTAGTATGCACTAACTGCCTATTCGATTAGTGTGCTAGATCCGTTTTAAATAAAATTATTGTGAAAAGGTTTTGAGTGAAAATGAGAGAAAACGTCTACGATGATGATGTTCTATCCAAAGCAGTTGTACATAAGTGCTACAATTATGAAAAGACAATACAGCGACTGAAAATCTACATTAGTATGGCTGAAGATGAATTTCATTTTTTTTTCATCCTCGACCATGTAACCTATCATTCGTTAGATATTAATCCTAATCCTAATCCTAACATGACGTGCCTCTCAGTCTCTCATGCCGTTTAAATGAATTCTCCAAATATTATATTTTTTGATTACAAATTACATAAAACCAAGGAAACCTTCGAAAAATAAGCAAGAGTTAATATAGAAGTTCTGCATAAAGTGCGGTTAAGTTTATGACTCGCAAAACAATTATCGAATGCGATACTATACTCACTGTTCTGAAATGGTATGCACAATTCCGTAGCGCATCTCTGTTCTAAATTTTGCTTTCGATTACATGCTTAAATATGAGATTTTCTTCTAACTGTGAGACTGTGAGACTCATCGCGGCAAGATTTGTTATAAAAACGAAAGAGATTAATTTTGACTTCGTGACTAAGTCCAATTTTATATAAAATTACTCATCGAAAGATTCTAGCGGGTAATTTAGTCTACAGTATAAGAGCTTTGCTAGACTCAAAACAAGAACCACATGATGCGTTTAGTTTTCAAAACTGGTGGTTAACCCTATCCGGTATCCGATGACCCTTTGAGGATATATATATATATATTTTTATTATATTACATTTTTATATGTATATATGTTATATTATATATATACCTATACGTATATATAAACAGATTTTTTTTTTTTTTTTTGTGTAAATTGTTAATTTAAAGTGAAGAGCGAAAAATTTAAGGTAAACATCAAAATAAGTTTCAAAGGCTCATCGTGTACGAGATAGGCTTAACAACCAATTTTGAAAGCTAAACGTATCATGTAGTTCATGTTTTGAACCAAGCAAAGCTCTTAAACTCTAGACAAAATTACCCACTAAAAGCTTTCGATGAGTGATTTTGTGCTGTTGTCAACGATGAACTAAGTTTTATTAGCAGACTCCGTGTATTTTTTTGACAGTATGTTTGTATTGTGTATGTGCATGTGTTGTAGGGAAGTCTGATTTTAATTGTTCACCGAGAAAACCCTTCTAATTATACAAATAATACAAGAGAGAATAATAATTTACACACTTGCGTCCATTCATAGATAAATACACCATTCAAGGGTGCATATGCATGTAGTATATGTTTACATGTATACTAACATAGTATACATATGTATATAACTTATAAACTAACCAACTGATGCATACTTGCTTTTTAGTTCATAGAGAAATAGAAGAGAGCTCGGGATGAATTATTTTATAATTTTGCTAGTTTTCCAAAAAAGTTCTGTCGCTCTTTTTTCTTCTTCTTCTTTTTTATGTTTGTATTTTTCGTAATTTTTACGTTGTCTGGTTTTCTATTTATTTATGTATGCAGATGTGTGTTTGCGTGTGTGTGTGTGTGTATGTGTGTGTGGGTTGTGCATGTTTGTAACGTAATTAAAATTTTATATGCTTTACAATGTAGTGCAATATCTGAAATAAAAATTGCAGGAACACAAAAGGATTTTTTATTTAAATTGGCATTCAGTTAAGCAACAATACAAAAGGTGTTGTTCCACCTATTTCCCATTGTTTAAGAGTATATATTATATATTTTAATCACAAATGCACAAACGCACGCTTAAGAATATGTTCTATGTTCTCTATCTTTCCTTTGTTTTTTTGGTTTTCTTTTTTATTTCGACTTTAGGTATTTGGCATTGTTGGTCTGAATTGAGCTGCGAAAAGTCTGAAAAACCATAACAAAGAGAGTATGCGAATAAAAATTATTGTTAACCGAATAAGTTACACAAGCAAGAAAATTTTAATTCCCTTAAGAGCGGTCTTAGAGTAGTTAAATCGGTTTATTTTGCCCCCTAGGTCAGCTCTGAAATAACCATCAACTCAAGTAAGTCTATACGTATGTTGAAGTGGTTCCTCAGCAATGAACGTATCAGTAGGCTGCTTGGGAGCATATCACGCGTACTAGTTACTACATGTGCCATCGCTTGGGTTTTTGTACAACATATGACATCAATATGTATATGTATGCATTATCAGGAAGAGCAAGCCCTTGTTTGAAGGGAAAGTATAATTTCTAGTTTTTTAAGACGGAATTTGGAAAACAGTAAAACTTGTAGGATATAAATTAAATTATGCTAAATTTAGATGACGCCGTATGATCTTCTAGCCATCTTCCAATGTGCGGGCTTTCACGAGCAATACGGAAACCATAACAACTTACTCTCCCACGTGAACATACTCAGGGCTATGATGATGAAAGCTGAAAAGAAGACCCAGTAAAAACATCTATGGTGGGCCGTGGCCCACAGTTATTCATACATCGACTTTCTAAATAAGATCTTATATTGGAAATGATCGAAAAAGTAATTCAATTCGAATCATGTTTCATAGCGCTCGTTCTTGAATCGAAACACATCGTTGTACTAAAATTTCATCAATATATCTTAAAAATTGCGACCTGCAGGTTGAACTCAAGAATACAAGACGGATAAACGGAGATACAGGTTTAAACCGACTCAGAAAATGATTCTGAAACTCTAATTATAAATGTAAACCGTATTTTTGAACAAGAAAGTTTACAGAGACTGAAGCAATATAAAAAAAATAAATAAAATTGAAGGTTTCCCTACGAAAAGTCATTCTAAATACTTACAATTATAAATGCATACCATATTATCGGACACATATCACATATCTTTCAGTAACTTAATATATTACGTTTACAGTTATTTCTTCATGAATTTCATTTAATTCAAAAAGTGAAAAAGTGAAAAAGACCGAAACCGGGATTTCCGGTAGCAAGAATATTTTCCTTTATCGCCTAATAAGTTTATACACGCTTAACCGAACAAATCTTTACAATTTGTCGTTTATATATTCATTTGTTAACATTTTCTTTTAAAAAAAAAAAAAAACCTTTGAAAACAATGTACAAAGAAATCTCCATTAGAAAAAAACAAAAATAAAATCATATTCAACAGCAATTTCAATTTTTTATTCTATTTTCATTTTGTTTTCATTTTTTTTTCTTTATTTTCTATATGCCCTTAATATTGTACGCGTTTTCAATTTTATGCCCTGCCCTAAAAACTGTCGATGACAAAATCGTACCTATAGACATTTTACACTTGTCGCAGTATATTTATTTATGTAAGCGTTCTAAACACACAAAAAACAATTTTTTTTTTCTAATACTAAAAATTCTGCTTACAATTTCGCTGGATTGTTATGGATTTTATATGTTTTTTTGTTACCGCTCGTTGTTGTAATGCCTTTCGTTCATGAGAGTTGATATCGTTTTGTGCGTGTGTGTGTGTGTGTGTGTGTGTGTGTGTGTATATATATATATATGTCCTCTAAAAAAAAAAAAGAAAAATGTAAAAAATAAAAACCATTGACAATGGTATTCTATTGTGTTTCACTTCCGACAAAGTTCACAGCGTACAATATGTTTACGTTGTGTCGAGTGCTGGATAGAGATTTTTGCATGAATTTCTATAAAATTCGTGTTCACATTGTTACTACTATTTCTCTTGTTATTATTGTTGTTGTTGTTGTCGTTATTATTATTATTGTTATTAGTGTTGTTGTAGTATACCTTGAACGCGCCCCAAAAATATATAAACAAATGACTTTGTGATGCCAGCAATTTTTGTCATTTTTTCATATGCTTTTTATCTCATCTCTTATTTCCATTTATTGCATTCCATCCTATTCGTTTATTCCAATTTTTTCTTTCTTCTTTTTCTTCTTCCTTTTTACTACTTTTCAGAGAACTTTCATGTTTTATTATTTGTTTAAATGCGAAAAATTTCATATTAATTCTTTTTATTAAAGCGTTTCACTTCAATTATATATGTATATACCCATGGATGTGTGCGTGTATGAATGTGTTTATCATTCCTTCCGGAGATTATTGACTGTATGTTTTTCGGACTTTTTTCAAGTCATCTCTGCGTCCGATAAAATATTTTCGGTTTTTTTTCTTTTCTTTCGTGTTTGCCTCTGCGTTATTTTAGCGAAAAAATATTTTATTGTCTATCTATGTGCTGCTCTGCTCTTGTTGTTGCAATTATTATTGCTATGTCGCTATGTTATTTCAGTCGAAAGTTATACGTTTTTATTGGTAATAAAATTTTATGCAATAAATTTTACATTTTAATTAAATTTAAATATTTAGGAAGTGTTCATAGGCTCACCCGTCTGCCCGTCTTTCGGTGCTGCGTTTATTTAAATCAGAATAAAAATTGTTTATGTTCGTTTGTTAGCACGTATTAATTGAAATTGAATTGAAGAAGAAGAAAAATATGCAAATATTTGTTGTTATTGTATTAGCTTTAAGGTAAATATTTAATAACTGACATTCTGACCGATATTGAGAGTTTCTTGTTAATCGCAATCGTTGCTGAGATAAAATTTTTGTTTTAATAAATTTTTTTTTGCTTTTTTTTTGGTTTTGCCCAAGCTTATCAAACGAATGCGCCTATCTTTATACTTCTTTCATGAATGGAAATTAAAAACAGTTGCAAATTGCAGTGGTCGTGAAACTTTCAAAAGCATGTCTTATGTCCGAGCGGACGTAAATATATTTCCATGCTTCCACTCCGACTATTCTCTCCCTTAGATTTATTTTACTAGGAGAAGTAATCAACCCATCTCATGCCAGGCACACTGCACGATCTTTAGCTTCTCTGCAACCTACTGGCTGTGCATTAGACCTCCCGAGTAGCTGACTACACGGTAAGGAAGTTTGTACGTAGACGACCCCCGACATCTTCGAAGACTCTCTAAGGAAAGGAATCTCGTCGCCGGGACAGATAGTCACGTTACACGACACTATTGCGTTATACCCAAAATTGTATTTGTAACTAATACTACAAAATATAACTACATGACACAAGTCGCTGAAGTTTGCCTCTGGGTGTTTACATTTGCACAGATCCTTGCAGAGGCCACTTACATAATAATCATCCAATCAGTTTGTATTTTTTATATAATGGTCTTAAGAGCAGTTAGGGATATAAAGGATATGCCTCAGGGCAAAGATGTTCTTGTAAATAAAATACAATTTCAAACAATGAATACATAAATAAATAAAAAATGTGTTCTTTTCTTTTTTTTTTTTTTTTGTGGAAAATAAATTAGTTAAATGTTTTCAGCATCATGAGCTATTTATTAAATATCTGCAGTTAATAAGAAGCATAGCAGAAGAAACAATTGATTAATTCAAGCACGAAAAGAATTTAATTACTTACGCATTATGTATTATACAATAAAAGGTTAAAACAATTTTTGTTTTCTGTATACTTACACATTGCGGGAGCCGCGGCAGCAGTCAAGTGAGCAGTTAATGGAGTTGGAGCAGCTAAAGCTGCAGCCATATGCTGCGTAGCTGAAAATTGCGCCATGTGAGCATGATGTGCTTGGGCGGCTGACAACTGTTGCGTTGAGGGATGATGACTGTGCAACGAGTGAGTTATGTGCTGTTGATGATGATGATGATGATGTTGATGATGATCCGCATGTGATTGTGTAGGAGCGCCATGATTAAACGTTGCCAATGTTACTAGATTTTGCATAGACATTGGAGTGGCCAATAGCCCGCCACTGTTGGCACTAGTACTGTTGTGGCCGTGACTGTTGTTATTGCCCGCTGAGGTAACCGATAAAGTTGCAGCTGCGGTACTATGATCCGGTGGGAAATTTAGTCCTGATTTTTTTTCCATTTTTTTTATTTTTTTTTTTATTTTTTTTATTTTTTATTTTTATTATATTTGAAGGGAAATTGTGTTTTGTTTGATGGTTGTTTTTAAGGTTTGAGATACAGTTTTTTTTTTTTTTTTTTTTTTTTTTTTTTTTTTTTTTTGGTTTTTACATGACCACACAATTAAGTCAATCATAGACATACCAAAAAATGTTTTTGTTTTTGAACGAATATATAAAAAAACATAGAAGAAAACACACACCCAGTTGGATTATTTACATTTACGTATAATAATAATAATAAAAATTATACAAAAAATTTGTTGTTGTTTAACAATGAAATTAAATAAAAAAAAAAAAAAGAGGAGAAATAGAGATTAAGTCAAACGCGTACAGAGATATAAAAACATAGATACGTACAAAAATACATAAATCAAAATTGAAAAATAATAATACTAAAAAACGAAACAGATTGCAACACAAATAATTAAAAAAAAAAAAAAAAGAGAAAATAAAAGTTACATAAAAGTCAAAAAGAAATAATACAAAAATTTGGTTTTTGGAAAAATGCAGTTAGACAACAAAATTTTAATTTACTATTGAAGGTAGTTAAGGATTTCTTTCTTATTATTATTTTTTTTTTTTTAAATTACATTGAAAATCCTTAAAAAGACGAGCGAGCCGAAACGTACACAAGCACACATATGGAAAGGAGCGTCCAAGAACACACATTCAATGCCTACACATTCACTGGGCATGGCATAGCATATAGCATACAGAATATACAGTTTACATTGTGCTCATGTAAGTTAACAATGGCGATAACGTTATAAATTGGATGATAAGTGCAGTTAAAGACGTGCAATAGATTGAGAAGATTTGTTGCTAAACGGATGGAAAAAATTTTGTATTCACTTTTATACCCTACACCACTTGTGCTAAGTTAAGTATATGTGCACTCTGGATGAACTTGAGAAAGACCCCTTACTCGGAATAATGTAAGCACGTCGATCTGTTTGTTTATTCGAAGGTTGTTCACGTATATTCGTTATCAATTTACAGGTAATAACATTCGAAATTTGTTGATGAAAAACTTAGACCGTTTTTATTTTGGACTAAGCACGAACGCTTTTAAAGAAACGCTTCAAAGGACAATTTTTAATGCTCCCATGTAAAGTTACGTTTTGAAAAAGCAGTTATTTGATAAATGAAATTGGAAAATTGAAATGGTGCGGGCCGCTTTTCCAAGCCCTTCCCTGGGTTCAGAGAAATTAGTAGATATAAAAATTTTTACTGAGATAAATTCAGATTACAGAGTTCGTTTTTCCGATCTCTTGCCTTTTGAGGATTCTTATGAAGACTAGAGGGCTTTATATGGGAACAAGTTTTGATTTCTGGTATTTTGTGGCGAAAATGAAGAATTGTTTTAGGTGAAGTCGTGTAGGGTATTCAATAGTCGGCCTTACCCGACAGCAATGCTTATTTAAAATTGATTTGATTTCCAAGTTAGTTCTCTTCAATATTTCTCTTCATATTAATTTTTTGTTTTAGTTTTTGTTTTTTTGTTTTTTTGTTTTTTGAATGACAAAATAACTGAATCTATATTGTAACAGAAAGTAAGCCGCTTAAATACGTATTGACTTACGTTTCATATATGTGCAAAAGTACACAAACATTCCCTCTCGCCCAAACACACACAATCACACATACGCATATATCCATACCAACAAATTCTATAACAATTGCTAACAATTTAATAATCATTGATTTCATTTTTAACATGCCACCATGTGTGTCGTACTTTTTTTGTTAATTCAATTCGGTCTTTACAAAATGCAAATATTTTTCAAAATAACATTTTTGCACTAATCATACAAGAAGAGATTACTCACAATAATGCTTCGCAAGCTCTATTTAACTATTCGCACTAACTTTAAAATTTCCAAAAGCTTATGTTTAGTGTAGCGGGTCTTAGGTTATTTGTGCGGATTAAGCAAAAAAATGGAAATACTGCCTCTAAAGTAAAAATTCGAGATTAGTTTTTATAGCCCAATAAAAAAATATAAATGCAATACGTTATTAGGTCTAACTAAATGGGTCACTAAACTAAAGTTTTAGTATCCACTGCTTAAGTTAAGCTTATTCTGTGCTAATAGGAGAAATTTCAAAATATCATTCTAATTATACGCATATGTATATGTAAATAGTTTTTATATGCATATGTTTATAGTTTTAGTCGTAATTTTCGTCATTTTAAATCTCACAACCTATAGTTAATCCAAAATACATGAGTTTCGAGAATAAGAAGAAATTCTCATTTTCAGCTATCATTCCGGCTAAGGCGATAAGACTTCGCAGGCTTTCCAAAAAAAGGTTGCTGTTTATGGTGATGACACTTTATGAAAAGAAGTCACATGCAAAGTGTTTTCTTCTTAACGATTTTGGAGATTGTTGATATTGAAAAAGCGCCGAAAGCTGGTCTACCAGATAAAGTAAGTAAAGTATATGAAATTCGTCCGAAATTTGAGAAACGTTGTTTACATCTCCTCTAATGACAACGCTGCCGAACAAAGACAGCAAAGCAATATTGAACTGTTTGCACATTATTAAATATAAAAGGAAGAAAAAATATTATAATGGGACATATGATAGTGAGGCCCACCCTTAAATACACTCCACAACTTCGCTTAAAACAATTACTCATACAAGGACTTTTTAAAATAAAAAGTGGTCCGATCCCAAACATTTTCAACAGCGTTCATCCTTGGTATAAAACTTGCCGGTGTATCAAGTTTCATCCAAATATCCCGCGACGGCCAGCCGGACAGAAAAACTTAGATCGATTCAGAAAGTGACACCAAGTCGATCGGTATAATAAAGAGTAGAACTATCCCAACTGCTTCCTTGGGTGTGCGTACATCCAAAAAAACTTAAGATAGCTTTGCACCGCAGGTGGCGTAGGCTATACGATATAAGTTGGAGATAGACACATTCAAGTTTGTCTGTCCGTCCGCCCTTTTGACGACGACGTATGGAAGCTTTCTGTGGGTAGAGTTTTCTTTGGTCGTAGCAATAGCTACGATGAAGGCATACCACTTATCGATTGGGCAAGCACCTACTGTGCTGCGGCCGCCTCTTCCTATTCCTCTCCCTTCTTTGTAACAGTCACCGCGTTACACGACAAGAGGACTTCCCGCCAATGATTGGTCATATTTAAAAAAGAAAAAAATGGGGGTGTTGAAATAACATGTCGCTAGCGATACACAGACGTGTCTTGGCCTAAGAACGAATGCTATGGAAAATTGTTCGAATCGCATCACTTCCCACATAATGCTCTATTTTGAAATGTCGCTATGTGAATAACTGTATTAAAAGAAACGTTTTATGGTATTTTTTTTTGGTGCGCTGCGGCCAGCTATAGTGTCTCCACTTGTTTTCCCGCTATGCTGTACTAGATTACAATTTGATTTTCGACTAAAATTTCTATAAATATTTGCGTTTTTTATTTGCGTATTTTATTTTAAAATGACATCTAGACATGGCTGCTGATTACGTAATTAGAGCGCCTTGGGTTTTCGCTTATTTCGCCAAGTATTGACGGGCCACACTTCACTGAAAGTGAAATTATTTAAAATAAAAGAAGAGAAGAATTTCTTTCTTCATATCAAAGAGTTGACGCCTTCAACACTTTCTAGTCATAATCAGACATAATTTCCTGTTTCATTCATATTGCGCTCTTTATCTTTTCTGGACAATGAAGCAAATATGAGAGAACAACATTCCCTTGTGACAAGGCAATGATGTCGGGTGTAAAAACATTTAAAATATTTCAAAGTTGAAAAGCATTTTTTTCTGTTTTTATTATTTAACGCATGAGTTTACATATTTAAGGAAAAAAATTTGGAAACTTGGAAAGAATGCTAAATATAGAACCAAGTGTAAAGTAAAATAATAAAAGGAAAAAAAAAAAAAAACCAAAAATATGATGAAAAACTTTTTGATGTCACACCTATTTTAAAAAATGTTCTTTTTGCAAGAAGTAACGAAAAGAATACCCCTCAGGTATTTAAATGTCATACAATTTGGAAAGAACAGTAAGCGATAAATTAAATAAAAGAGAGAAAACCAACAGAGAATTTAATGTTTTCTCAGAAAAATTTGAAGAATAAAAAAAAAAAAAAGGACGAAACTTAACTAAATGATAAGAAAACAAGCGAGAAAATGATATTCGCTTTGGGCGAATCTTTAATACCCACCATCCCAGGCAAACGTGCGACAATTTAAAGAAATAAATGGCACTGGATGGAAGGCGTTTTAAAACTATTCCTATAGCAAATATTTATGTGAATTTAAAAATTGCTCCTAGGCTTTAAGTTATAGGATTTGCTTATTGCGCATTGGGTTCTACGTAAAGTATGCCTTTCGAAGTTGATTTCTTCTCCGAATTTAACGTTGATCAAGGGGTTTAAATATCTTAGAGAGACATCTGGTGAGTGTTTCCAGACTTCAGAAATAAAAAGTGAATATTAATGCAAGTCAACCGCCTGTTCTGTCGAAGTCTGTAAAATTGCTTTCATTTTCGGCGTTGACGATGACAAAGTCTTGCTTGGCGTCTCGCTGACGAAATTTGAGATATAGTATGATCTATCGGTTCAACAAAAAGCGAAACACAACTTTTTTAGATGGTGGTAGTAGGTTTAATAAATATACTGTTTATTGTGACAAAATTGTTCGTAGGACGATCACTTATTTTTATCAAATAATATCTCAACTCTTAGTTAGAGCACATACCAAATTTTCGCTTACCTTGTCGCTAACTAGGCCTTTTTTTTAAATATGATCAATCACTCAGTGAATGTCTCCTATAGCATGTTGACGATTAGAAAGAAAGGAGGAAAGAAATGCCAAGATGGCCACACAGCCTAAGGGATGTGTGCACAATCGGTAAGTCTTATGCATTTACCGACTAAGCACTCAGTACAGCTGCCACCAAAGTAAAATCTACCGCACTTGAGATTTGAACCCGCCAACACTGACTTGGTAGTCGCGGCATTCCTTCGGATATTATTTTGAGTCTGTATGAAACAATTCTGCAACTTTTGCATACTTCTTGGCGTAAAATGTCATCTAGTCTGATTGCATATTTTTGGCATACAAAGACATTCAGAAATATATATATTTTCTTGATAGCTTTTGCGATCGTTTTAAAAAAGTCTTTGCCTTGTCGTACAATGACTTGTATGCGCACGGAGTTGGCACAATAGCTCCACGGCGGGGCAAAAACCTCAATAATTCGAAGACTATTCGTAGCTTCTCTTATGTTCCTTATTAATTTAAAAATATTTAACTTTTCGTGTTTTTTTTTGTCTTCTTCCAGGGCAGCTAACTTACATTAACCACATTTTTCATCTTATATAAAGTTACGATAAACCCATACGGAAAGAGAAAGGGAGGGAGAGCTTTTGTTAACAAAATCCTCATTTACTTTACTTGGTTATTTAATAAACGTGCATAACACGCACTCTTGCTTCTACGCATACTTATATAAGAATGTGTGCTACTTATAACCATACCTATTTCAAAGTAAGGCAAAAAACACGGAAAATTTCGTTGAACAAAAATGCTACTAAAATAAAAAGTAGAAAAAAAAAAAGGAAAAAGAAATGTCGGCAAGTTTTCTACGGGCACTTTGCTTTCAAGATAAATTAAAAGATTTTTACCGAGTGCCCCTATGCGCATACACGCAAACATTTGCACTTTGATACCGAAAAATAAACTTATAACTTTACTTGTATGCGTACACGTTTGAAACTTTTAAAAGGAAAACTTAACATAAACAATACCGTACAACTTAAACTAATACTTTTTTTTATATACATTAGTGTAAAGCTTCAAAAAAAATTAAAGGTACCTATAAAATTCCGTTTCACAGGTTACACTTACATGCCTATGCCGTGAAGCCGACAACAAGCATGTTATTATAAACTCTATATTCTCGTTTACATATCTTTTCTTGTAAACCTATGTAAAAAAACACTGTGCGGAAATTTTTGCGAACAAAAGAAGACCCAGAAAAATGCCATGAAAAAAAAAAAAAAAAAAAAACATTTTATACAGTTAAACTGAAAGAAAGATAAAACGGAGCACAAACAACTCCCGTTAAACGGTAAACATACATAAACACTTGCTGTAAACTTGTATAAAATATGTATATATTCGCAGATGCATCTACTGCTGCCCACACTTACGCCAATGAAGGAAAGAAACATATCAAAGATCAAAGGTATATTAGAACCGCTATCTCGTATGTATTAACTTTAAATTCTTATCGGAGACTGCACGGAGTACTATATATATACATATTTATGTCAAATGCGAAAATGCGAAGAGGTCGATACTTGAAAGTTGGCTTATCCGAACGTACATCAAATGTGTTACTCTCAAAAGAGAGATTCGAATGCTGGACATTCGATTATATATAAAGAAAGATCGAGAATTAAATTTAAAGTCCTTTTTAAGTACATCAAGACAACCTTGAAATCATTTTCTTAATTCAAAATCGCGCAATTATCTTATGCTTAATAGGTGTACAAAGTTCGGTTTGATGCAAAACTCATTCCCTGAGTAAATTTTCGTTGAAAATCATCCGCATATTTATATAATACCACAATCTGTATATATTAAGATTTTTTGCAGGTAAAAAATCAACTCAAAAGAAAAGGGATATTACACTTAGCTTGACTCTTTTGACGGGTAACGAATATTTGCAAAGAAAACAAAAACTTGCAAAGTAAAGCTGATGAGTGCGATGTAAAGCAATCTTGAAGATATCAGTTAAAATGTATCAAAATTACAATAAAACAAGTAAAGTTATCTTAACTTTGTGTTAACTTTGAGAAAAAAACCCCGTTTTTGTTCGCCCATTTTGCCTTACGGGTATTTTGGTGCTTATTTGGATGCAAAAAAATATTATACAGTGAACCGCTAATTGTCGATATTTAGAAGGGTCTCCTTGCAACCAGCCAAGCGCTAAAGTTATTTTCGAAATCAAATCTACATCATAATCAATCATATTTGATTTTAAATAAGATTTTAGATAAAACGATTCTCGCCTTCGCTATCTCTCTCTCTCTCTTTCTCTTAATATATTCATTCGTCTGTTGGTTAAACAATTAACATGGACTCTCGTAGTAGGCAATATTGTAGCATGTGAGGGAAAGTTAGCAAATCGTCAAAGAGAAATGGTATTAAACATTCATATTTCTGTATATTTATATTATGAATTCCATTTGAGAATGTACACATACAATTTTTATGTACCTTGTATTATATACATTCATTTATCAGCTATCACCTGTTGATAACTAACAATGTAAATATTTGCATATTCAACTAAAAAAAAAAAAAAAAAAAAGAGGAAAAAGTAAAGCAAAAATTGAATATGTGCCCGGAAAAATATTTGATATATTGAAATATGTATTTATGCAGATATCTCTATTTATGGGGTGTCTACATGCATGAACACTTGCTTTAAGTGTAAATATTTACCATTGATTTCATAACACTTGTTATCAAAAAAAATATTTTATTTTTCTTCTTTTTTTTTTTCGTATTTTTACTTTTATTTATTAGTAGCTACATTTGTCAAAAATTGGACAAATTCAACCAAGTTTGTTATTTATAAACTAAGTTGGAAAAATTTTAAGGGTAGTGAGATCATATGACGATTTTCTTTTATAGCAATATATTGACAGAAGCACTTAAGCCTCCGTGGCGCAATCGGCTAGCGCGTTCGGCTGTTAACCGAAAGGTTGGTGGTTCGAGCCCACCCGGGGGCGCGTTGTTTAAGTGTTTTTATTAATAAATAATAAATATTAATTGGAACGAGTGAACTTTCGCAAGAATGATTTTATTAGTAGGGGGAATTAAACTCCAAAACCCCATTTTTGACAGAGGAGTATTTTTTGGCGATTCTTTATAAACATAAAATTATTTTTGAAAATTATTAAGTGATATATTTCTTAGCATGTTTTAGACGCATCGGCTTGCACGTGTCATTATGTTCGTAAGTTCACATTTGCATTTTGGATTTTCCATACTGCAGGGGAAGTCACCCCTACTACTCTCCCCCTTGAATTTATTGTAATAGGAGAACTAATTAACCCAGCTCAGGCCAGGCCTCCATCACACTACATTATTTTTAGCTTTTCTACAACTTACGACTTGCGTACTAGACCTCTCGAATAGCTGACTACGTGGTAAGTTAGTTCGCACGTAGACGACCGCCAACATACGGGAAGACTCTCCAAGGAAAGGAATCCCATCAACGGGGGAAAAGGCGATAGACAAGCGGGATTTACTAGAAGGGGCAATGTCTTGACTGTCAGAATTTTCTACGCGATAACCGGGATTTATTAGCTTAAATCACGAATTTCTTTCGAACATTCAAACGAGTGTTGAGAAACACAAATGTTGTCTGAGATAAGGGCAAGATATTGCAGGAAAATCTGTAAAGAACTCTAATAAAATGACGCAGATGGCTTAGGTTAAGGTTATTCTTCCTATGATTTCGAAGGACTCAGATGGTTTGAAACAATTATGATTGCACGATCGGATACAATTTTATTCTTTAAAATTAATTATTTATGGAAAATTTTTGCATTTTATTGTATGACCGCCTTTGTCACTGCAAGTACGACTTATGTGTTGTACGCAAGAAAAGCGGGAGTTGTGCCTACACTTACATCAAAGCTAAACCTTTGTTTTTTTGAAATAACGACTTATTCAAAATTTTTAACTAAACTGTACCATTTCCTTCAATCATATATTCACACAAACATTAAACAACAAAACATTCAAAGAAACTTATATTAGAAATAACAAACAAGCAGAAACAACAATTTTAACAAACGCGGATTTAGGCAAGCTAATAATAATAGTAATTTTTATAATAATAATAACAACACTAAGTCTTGAAAAAGGAACAAAAAAAATTTATGTAATTACAAGTGATTGGATTCTGTTTGTTTAAAAGGTTTATGGAAGAAAGAGGAATATTTTTTTTTTTTTTTATTTGAAGATAAGGAGAAATAAAATCATACGATTCGTTGATAAAGGAGGCTTTTAAGAACTAAAACTTATTTAAAAAAATTAAGGTTCTTTCTGTCCATTGCGCTTACCTTGTAAATAATGAGCCGGCTGCAAACCGAAAGCTTGCAGTTGTTGAAATAGTTGCAATTGGGCAGCAGCTGATGACGGAGCCATCAGAGAATCAGTTGTCGTTATATATGATGAGGCATGTGAGGGATTGGCTGCGCTATTGCCAGGTGGCGGCGCCAGCATATTAGGTGTAACAGCCGTCAAGGTGCCACCTGCGGTGGGTAATAAAGTTGCGGTGCCGGTAGCTGTTGCTGTTGGCACTGTGGGCGGCGAAGCGGCTACGGCAGCCAAGGCAGCCATGGTGGGATTAGTACGTGTAGCAGCGGCCGAAATTTGCGCTGGCACTAACGGCGTGGCAGGACTTATGGCCGTGCCCGGTACAGCTGGATTTAAGTTTCCCAAAACGGATGTGGCGGTGGGTGTACTTAAAGCACTAATACCGCACAAGCCATGCAGTTGCTGCAATTTCTTTTGGTCCTTTTCCTTTTGCGTATCCGCGAATTTCACCACCAACGGAGCCGAACAGCCTTCCATTGTTTGGCTATGATGTAAAGTCTGGAAAAATTAATAAGCTTTTATTTCATTTTCTTAAATTTTTCAAGTCATTTTTAACATAATTAAAAAAGATTTTTCTTTTTCGTTGCATACGCTCAACCCCAAATGCTTCCATTTCCCAAATGTCATTCCGTTTAGATTGTGTTATTTATTTAAATGTATACACACGAGAAGTAAACCTGCATATTCATCTTGTTATGCATAAACACAGCAACTATCTACCATAAAGTAGAATACTATAGTATAGCATTATATGTATGCAGTGCCTATTATGCTTGCGTTTCGGTGTGTAACAAAAGTTCGCGCTGTTATCATTACTGTCGTTATTCTTTTTCTGATGTTGGTTTTCGGTCTTGTTTTGCTCCTGCTATATTGTATGCAATTTTATTTGTCGGAAATTTGTAATTCTAGTTGTTTCCTGTGCAATCTTCATGCAACCATTTGTGGTGGTTGACTATTTCCGCTTTCGCTAGATGTTCCCCTCTTCTGGGACTTGTCTTATACATTATATAGCATTATATAAATATTTTGTATGTTTGTAAATCATTTGTATTGTGGCTTTAGGAAGCAACCATCTACAAGGTAATACTCACATATATGTTTACGTTAATACATTATAAGATATTTAGACAAACGTTTGAATTAAATAACTAAATATAGGCTTGATTTTTCTCCAATTTTAACGGAAACGCTTCTTTTAAGAAATATGAATGTATTGAAAACAATAATTGAGAAGCAGTATTGGAAGTACAATTATTACACATAGTGAAAATATACGAATTACATATTATGGTAAATTAAAATCTACCATAAATGATTGGTACTCAACTATCGCCGTAAAGCAAACGAAGCTTAACTAACTTATATTAAAAAAAAAAAGAAGAAAAACAAGCACTGATCACATTAGTAATTTACCTTAATCGCTGCAATCGCGTGTTGTTTGGTATCGAATGTTACAAATGCGCAACCTTTACTTTGGCCATTTTGATCTCTTAAAACAGTGCATTCCTCAATTGTGCCATGACCCGTAAACAGTTGCCGAACGTCGGCCTCATTGTATTTTTTATTTAACATACCAACGAATAGTTTACGTTCTGTAAATAAATGGAACGAATACGAAATTTAAAAAAAAAAAAAAAATGGTTAAGTTTATATAAACATATATACGTATAAAAAGAGAGTTTTCAAGAGCTTACATATGACAAGGGAGCAGAAAAGAAAAGTATATTTTGCCCGCGAATCGTTGGCAGAAAAATTTCAGTGCGTTAACAAATGCTTTAAATGAGTAGCATGAAAAATGTTGCCAATTGCTTCAGCAACTGTGGCAAATAGTTTCACACACATATAACCATGCAATACATTCAATAACCACAAACAACATACTGCATACGTACATAAACGAAAGCTCTTTTTAACGGAGTGGTATGAGACAGATGGGTAGATGGGTAGATGGGTAGGTAGGTGGGTAGGTAGTTAGGTACTCAGGCAGGCAGTTGAATACTATGTCAGACAATCAGGCAAGCAAGCAATTTATGATTGTTTGTTCGTTTGTTTGCTTGCTTATATATACCCGTTATGGGGGTATTTTCGCTTTTCGTTTATTCATTACTTAAATGAAAAACTTACTGAATAACCGACTGTCCAAGTGGTTGCATGGGTAAATGTGTACATATCACGTAACATGATATATACACACTCTGACTATTGATGGATGGTTGACTCCATACATGGCCACTAGAATTATGCACAACTACCTACTTCTGCACTACCAAAGTACTAACTCTCTATAATTGTGATGCCTTCTTGACTGTGTGCGCGTTTGCATTGTATGCTGTTTTCATTTCTTCCACTACAGTGAAAGTTCTATGATTATTTTTTTTTTTGAAATGTGTAACAACGCAAAATGTTGCAGTGAAATGAGCGTAATAAAAGTGGTATTAAAAAGTTTGCTTAACAACAATAATAACAATAACATTGAAACAGCACAACATCAACAAAACTTCAACCATTATATATAAAATCAAAGTTATTTCTCTTTTGCACATAACTATGCAACATTGAACAATTTTATAGACTCCTAAAAGGCGATAATACTTTACAATCCTTTCTATTTTGTTGATAAAAAAAATTGTAAAGAAATAATCAAAATGAGTGTCTTCAGTCATTAAAAGTTTATAAAACAATTCCTAACTTTGGTCATCTGATGCCATCTTTCCGAAAGTTGTATTTTGTTTTTTTTTCTATTTTTTTCCGAGAAATTTTATACAAAGCTTGTAGAAGTATTCATATGTCGCTTTGAACCTGCTTTTATAAACTTTTAAGTTTTGTTAATTGCTTAACTTGTTCATTGTTGCTTGTCAGTGTTTTGTAGGTGAATTTCACATTATTTTCACGGCTACATAAGTTTCATTAGCAAGTTTTACTCGCTCATATTATAATTGCGCGCATTACACTTTGCAAATAGTGTGGCTGCACATGTGCGTGTTTGGTGATATTTATTTAATTCCCTTTAAACGTGTTGTTTGTTAGTTGAGGTACAAGGGATTTAAAGAAAAAAAATAAATAAATAAATATATAATATCCGTAATAAAAAGTGTGTTTTAAATATTTGAACTTTTCGCCTTTTGAGAGCTGAGCTTGGATTTGCAGTAAATACGCAAAATAAAAAACATAAAAATTGAAAATTAAATGAAAATAACATTGCCAATGATGATATGATGCCCGTAATTAGTGGCATTTCAGAAGGGATAAGTTAAAAAAAACTTATCGCTCTTTGGCACGCATAACCTAAATTCTTTTACTTAATCTATCCAAACCGTCTGATTATCTTTTGATCATCATTTCACGTCCATCATCTTTACCAAAACTAGTTGCACTAGAATTGAGTTAGTATTTTTAGCTTTTCTTCTTAATAGAATATTATTCTTTTATAATCTAATACGCAAAAGGGATATGGGAAAAACAAAAATTATTCCCGGACATCTATGCGTCCCAAAGGAGAATAAAACGGTGAAAAAAAAGTAGGGAACGAAAGTTTTAAAAATCAACCTTTTTAACAGTTAGCAAAATCTTGCATATGCAGCATACTGTTGCGTTCAAAAGTAAGACCAATTTAATTTCATCTTTTTTAAAATCTATTTATTATACTAAGTCTGTTTGGTCGTCTTCAAAGTAACTCCCCCCGCAGATGCTATACCCTTAAGCCAACGTTCTTTCCAGTCCTCGCAACAGTTGTTATATTCGATTTCCGGAATGCTCTTCGAAGCTTTTTGCAATTCAGCTTGCACATCTTCAATCGAGTCAAAACTTTGTCCCCGGAGTCGTATTTTGAGCTTACGGAACAGCCCGAAGTCACAAGAGGCTAAATCAAGTGAATACCGTAGTTCTGGAATAGCATATGTTGCATTTTTAACGAACTGTTCTCAAAGAGCCAAAGCAATATGAGATGGCACATTACCGTCATGCAAAAACCAAGAGCTGTCTTTCCACAATTCCCATCTCTTTTGCAAATAGCTTAACGCAAAAATAACACTCGAATAATATTCCTGGTTAAGAGTTTGACCTGGCGGAAAGAATTCACAGTGCATAACGCTACATCACCTTCATTTTTAAGCAAATTTGGCGCGGTTTTCTCTTTCTTGGCTGACCTTTTGCACGATATTCGCACGATTGATCGGTCGCTTCCGACATCCAAGTCTCATCTCTCTAGTGCGTTTCATCACCGATTGATAGACAGAAATCACCTTCTTGCAGGTTTTAACGCGACGCTCTTTTGCAAAGAATTTGAGAGTTTTTGAAATTTCACGCCAAAATTTGACTATTTATTTATTGCCTATATTTTTGTTAATAAATTTACAAAGCATGGATGTAACTTAGATCGTATGTTAGACCGTATTGAAAACTCTGTCGCGACCATTGTCTTGTTAGTTGCGAACCTTTGCCGAATCGGCTAGTCATGCGGATAAAGGACCAAAATTGACTGAATTGTCTGAAATGCCAACATCGGCGACAAGTCTTTGAGCACACAATCTTTGATTTATTTGACGTTACTTTCATCATTACAGCTTGATGGTCGTCCGAGACGTTTAAAACTAATCGCAACTGAAACACTAATGACGTTTATGTTGTGAAATTTGACACAGATGTCTGTCACAGAATATTTCTGATCTGCGATACGCGATTCATGTCACTTGTTGAACACAGTATTACAAAGGCGTTCTAAATAATACAAATTTTATTCATATGCAAATGTCTGGTGAAGAATCTGGCTTATCAGTTTGGAAAGTTTGACAAATATCTAGTTTCGAAATTGCTCAACTGCCTTTAAAATACTTGTTAACTAAACATAAGATTTCCAATGTCCCCTTAAGTCTCTTAATGGTGCTCTATCAAGATGTTTTTAAGATAAAAGCAGTTGTTCTGCTTTCACTCTGTACTTCTAAGTTTTATCCATTGCGAGCTGCTAATATTCAAAATTTGTAAATTTTTGTTAAAATTTTCTTTGAATAATTTGTTGATGAGAAAATGGTTTTAAATAATTTGTTTCAAAAATTATTAATCAAGTTTTGCAACGTTTGTTTTGCGTCGTAAATCGTATTATAAACTATTTGCTAATTTTAATTAAATTTCTAACCAAACACAATTGTTTACACACATGCGTTTATATTAATGAATTTACAGGTATTATCCATTTAACAATTTTCTCTTATCACAGTTACTTGTGCAGTTACTTATTAACGTTTATCTTAAACAATTTCAATGCACAAATAAAATTAACAAAAAAAAAAAAAAAATGAAAAAAACAAAAACAAAAAAGGAGGCAAGGAGGAAAATTTTCCATACGTTAGCAAGAAGGCAAACATTTACTTTGCTAACTACATAATTTCAAAGCACAACACCAGTTTGAAGATTTCAGACAGACTTATTCAAAGGAATCATCTATCTCGCATGCATAGATATCTTTTCTCAACTATTTGATGTGATATGTGCGTAAATAATTTCATATGTATGTGTAGATATGCTAAAAGCAATGAAGATTTGAAACTCTTTATTTGTTTATCTTTCTATATTGAAAATATGGGAATGTATTCTTGTATAAGATTATTTAGATTCTGTCCCATGTAACTTATCTAATTACTTACATATAAGCATACAAATTGTTAGAGTACATATGTATAAAAAACTTTTTACTCTTTGTCATAAGCTTACCAGATATTATTGAAAGTGTATTAAACATATTATCATACAGTTAAGTATGCCTTGAGATGTTTGTGTCTAGGGATGTTATTGCTTACTGACAATCAAATAAATGTTGTTAATTAGTAAGAGATTTTTTATCTTAATAAATTCTTCAAACTATTCAATTTATTTTAACTTTTCCTTTTTTTTTTCTTCTTCTTAATTCGTACTTATTTAACAATGGAATAATGAAATCAGTGTTTGAGTAAATTCCACAATGCCTGTCAATAACAGAAAACACTAAAGGCGCTCCAATTATATAGATATCCATTTGTTTACTTCCATTTGTAACTACAGATGAAGGCTATCATTTGCCAATAACAAATAAACGAACAGATGTTGATCAAATGAGATATTTTGAAAATTTTGTAATAATAAACACATGCAATAATGACTTCCGTATAATAATCTAAAAGGCTTAAATGGATAAGCCTAAGGTGAATTATATAAGTCCTTAAACATATGTAAATATAGGTACACATGTAGAAATTATTTCCAAACTTATTATAAAAAAGATTTTAATAGGTTTTAAACGAATTTCTTGATTCTTACTATTTTTACGGTAATAGAAAAAGTAAAAACAAAAAAAAGTTGCTTCTCATAATTTTAAGAAAATTTTTACACGACTGCAAATAATAGTACAAAAGCGCTAAATTACTTGAAAAATCGCGTTAATGAAAAACTTTCGAATAGCCAGCAGCATTGTTTACGCATGTTTTTGCATGCGAGTTGCAAATTGTGTAGAAAAATTTTTTGCCGATGTACGCAATAATAAAAATTTTATGCTTTGCTTTTAGAAACTTGTGTTTAGTTCAAGTGAAACGATGGAATATCTAATATTTACAATTTTTTTTTT